TAAACAAGTACGCCAAAGTTCGAAAGCTGTTGATGCAACCGGCTGGTAGGTTACCAAACCACCGCTGGGCTATGCCCTTGAGGGTAGCCGGGAAGCATCGACACCAGACGACATCATCTAACCCCTGGAGGTACATGAGGTTAGAGTAGGCCATTAGATGGTCTTCTGGGTTGGTGGTGCCGTCATAGGCCCCCACCAAAACATTCTTGATCTTAGGCGGCTGTGCCGCCTGGGTTATCTCTGGTGAGAACGCCGTTGGCTGTTCCCCCAAATTTAGCAGGCGCAGCTGCCAGTCCGTGGGTTGGAACGGCTGCTGCGCTTGCCCACCGAAAAGACCCGGTGACATAAAAGGGGATCCACCCAACCCATTCGGTGTGCCGAATAGGCCAGGCTGGATCACTTTGGGTCCAGACCGGGCAGAAGCTTCGCTCGTCTGGCTCCCAAGGTTTGTTCCCGTACGCCTGTGTGAGACGTCATGGAAACTGTCCGGGAAGGTCGACGTTGACGCCGACGCAGACACCTGACCTCGCTTCTCTTGGAGAAATGTGCGGGCGTCTGAGAATGTTTTCTTGGAGCCATCCGGCTGTACGTGTCGGATGGCCTTTCGCAGCTCCCCTTGAGGAAAACGGAGTCTGCTTGGATCAAACCTTAAGCCCTCCCCCTCCTTTGGCTTGGGATGAGGGGTAGGAACTCGTTCTTTGACCGCCTTCTTTCCAGAAGGCTTCTTGGCCGGCTGACCCTTCTTTGGAGTAGCTGACCGGATGAGGCTCTTGATCTCACCCTTGAAACTATTCATGAAAGACATGAGTTCGTTTCTTGTAACGGGGGCTGAGCCCTCCACCGTTTGGGCAATTCCAGCCGGTTGCCCGGCTGGGTTGCTGGGAGCAGCTTGGCTGATTTCCCGTTCTCTTCTATCTTTAGCACGAGGGTGCTTCGTTCTGAAAGACCCATCCGGGGCCACATATGTTTCAATTTCGTCTCCACTTTCATGGTCCGTCTGGACCTCAGGCTCGACCACAGGCCGTTTGCCCTGATTCGGTGACACAGTATCAGAAGTCATCTTAGAAGTACTCTCCCCACAGACGGCGCCAAATGTTTCGGGGTTTTTTTATGTGTCCTGCGGGAGAGTTACAATTCCAAGAATGCCCTTCGACGCCTGTGCCTGCAAAATCACGAAGACTCCTAGGGGTAGGAGCTCCGCCTCCGACGATCAAGTTAGTAAAGATACGGGAGGTAGAATGCACGTAATGTAGAAGTTACTTCTCGCGTAATGGGAGAATTCTGCAATTAATATTGCTTGGGGTAAGTGTTTTTCTTTTTGAGGAGTATTCAATGTGAACAACAAATGTTCCAGCCTCCCATTAATGAGGGTCCTTCCACTATTTATAGTGGGGAAGGGATGGTTTCCCTTTTAGGGTTTAGAGGACACGTGTCAGCAGAGGATTGGAGCCCTGCTGACCAACGGCTGGATGCCACGTGTCACTAGGCCATTGGGCCACGTGTTTAGGGTATTTTTACCCCAAACAATAGCTATTAGAGTAAAATGGAGTATTGTGTCACGAGAACCATTGCACAAAACACATGAGAGTTGTGTGTGAAATATACATCATGAACCTGACTTCGTTTTGACCTTAGTTCTCGGGAGATAATAGGAGTATCGTATCACGAGAATTATTGCACATAACACGTTAGACTTGTGTGTGAAATACAATATATACATCAAGAACGCGACTTAATCTTTGACCTCTGTTCTAAAGAGACGATTTAATCTTTGACCTATGTTCTAAAGTGATAATTATTAGGAAAAATACACTTTAATAATCCCAACTATGGGCGATTTACCTACAATAATCCCAACTATCGTTTATTCTACAATAATCTCAACTATTAGGTCTGTTTTCCTCCAGCAGTCCCAAACCAGTCAACAACCTATTATTGTAGGTTGTTTGACACGTGTCAGTGTGTGAGTGGTTCTAAAAAAAATTAAAAAAAAATACAAAAAAAAAACCAAAAAAATAAATCTGGCAGCCAACCCTAACCACCACCTACACCTCCTGCCGCCCAACCACCACCTCCAGCCCTAACCTCCACCTCCTGCCGGAAACGACTCCCACGACCCCCAGCCGCACCAACGAAACCCCCAGCCGCACCACCGAAACCCCCAGCCTCACCCACGACCCCCAGCCGTACCCCCAAAACCGGCCAAACCACCCAAATCACACCAGCAGCACCCATCTAACCCACCCCCGACCTCCGAAACCACCAACCTAGCTCACGCCAACCCCGAAAACCACCAACCTAAGCTACAACAACCCTCGAAACCTGCCCCCTACTTGAATCCGCTGCTATAACTGCCCCTCCTCCCTTCTCTCACCACCGAAACCGACGAATTTAACAAGGGTGATCTGGGTTGGTGGTTGCGGCGGAGGAGAGATAATCCAACGGTGGTGTTGGTGCAGATTTGGGTTGGTGGTTGCGGGCTTGCGGCGAGGATAGACGGTTGCAGGCTTGTGGCCGGGGAAGGAGGATGGTTTTTCGATGAGGATAGGGAGGAGGGGATGGGGCTGGGGAAGGGGACGGTGTCCTGGTGGTCGGATTTGGGAATGAAGGGTTAGCTGTGGTGGCTGAAGGGAGGAGGGGTGGTTGGGCTGATTTTTGTTTTTGTTAAGCCAATCATGTGTTGACATGTGGCATTTAAAAAACAAAAAAAAAAGTTTACCTTTTCAGCAGGTAACCGGTTTTTGGGACTGCTGGAGGAAAACTGACTTAATAGTTGGGATTATTGTAGAATAAACGATAGTTGGGATTATTGTTTATAAATCGCCCATAGTTGGAATTATTAAAGTGTATTTTTCCTAATTATTAAAGAAATACAGAGTATTGTGTCACGAGAATCATCAAATAAAATACATTAGACTTGTACTTTCTTTGTTAGTTGGTTTTTTTGTTTTTTGTAAGATGCATCATATGCGGAAAAAAAAAATCCTCAGTTTTTTTAGCTAAGAGAAATCGTAGTAGAAAAAAGAGGACTCATGTGATATGAGAGAGCTAGAGAGAGCTTATAACCTAAAAAGGAAAATGATGCATCTAATTTGAAACTTCCTTATTTGGAATTGATACATTTATAAAGAATCAGAGGAAGTTTATGATATACATGCATAAAGAATGTGACTTAGGGCCTGTTCTCATACAATTATTTTCAGTTTTCAGTTCTGTTTTGTTCTGTTCAGTTCACTTCAGCTCAACTCTAATAAGTTCAGTTCAGTTCAGCTCCTAATTTCCTTTTCTTATAAAATATTCATTTGAGTTCATGAGATCAGGCCCTTACTTTTTCACCTTGGTTCTCATGTTATGATTACTAAAGTAATATGGAGTGTGTCACAAAACCATCGCTCAAAACATGTTAGACTTTTGTGTGAAGTATAACCATACAAAACGTTTATGTGAAGTAAAGATGGCACTGGGACGGGCCGGCCCGAAGAACGCAGCACGAAAAAAGCACGGCACGGCTCGGGCACGAAAAAAGCACGACATGATACTATGCATGTGGATCGTGGGCTGCCTTTATGTGGGAGAAGCACGATAAGGCACTGCACGATCGGGATGGCATGTCAAAGCATGCTAAAATCAATGCAATTTTTCTTAGGCACGCAAGCTCGGCACGGCCCAACACAATGGCACATGAGCTTGGGTCGTGCACGAGCCAACCTTTTCAAAACTTTGGCCCGACACGGTACGAAACTCATGGGCCAAGCCTAACTAACCCCAAAGCACGTGTTTTGGCACGGCCTAGAGCCATCTTTATTGTGAAGCTTTGGAAGCATACGCATAAGGAACGTGACCAACCATGTTTAGGAAAAAAATGACATATAGTGATGTGCTACCGTTTCAATACTACATTATAGTGATGGTTTTGCCCTTGCTTTTTTTTTTATCCTTTCCTTTTTCTTATTTCCCTTGTTGATTGAACAAAAGATTTGTCCACACACCTAAATAATGTTTTGGAATAAAATCACTTTTGGCTTACAGTGATTTATAAAATAGTTTGAAATATTGTATTACCAGGATCACTACACAATACACATGTCAACTAAGACGCATGCAAATGCACAAAGGATTACCATGATTTACACACACCTTTCCTTTAAAAATTTATTACAATTGAAATTAAGGATGCGTTTTCTATTTATTCACGAGTCTAAAAAAAATATCTATTCACAAGCCTTAATATAATTTAGAAATTGGAATGAATTGACTTATGATTTCAAATTATTTGAAAGTGAACTGAGTATCGTGTTATACATCCTGAACATGACTAAGTTTTTACAACGGTTTTGGGGTGATAATTATTAATAGTAATATGGAGTGTCGTGTCTCGAGAACCAACGTAGATAACACATTAGACGTGTGTGAAGTATACACATCAAGAACATGACTTTGATTTTGACCTCAGTTCTTAGGTGATAATTATTTAAGTAATATGAAGTTTCTTGTCGCAAGAACCATTATATATAACACGTTAGACTTGCATGTGAAATATATGCATAAAGAAGTGACCTGTTATGGTTTAGTAAAAAGGTGACATTTAATTCTGTCAAAAAAAAAAAAAAAAAGTGACATTTAAGATTAAGACTGAGTGAACAATTTTTTCATGCTCCTTGGTGGTAAATAGGAGTGCAACTTTTTTTAATTATAGAATTTTGTAAATTAGTATGAAATACTATGTTAACTTGTGTGTAAATGAACAAGATTATTGCGTGATGTATGCTTTTGATAAAACATGACATTTATTCACGTGTCTTAATACAATTTGGATTGAAAAAATTTGCCTTGCTTTGAAAAAATGTTTAACTTTCTATTATATTGCAATGCTTACACCTTAATACTACGAATTGTATTGCAATGCAATTTCTATGTTGTAGAATATAAACTCTATGTTTAAAGTGCTATAGATTATTAGGATAATTTGCCTTGTGATTAGTGCTTAAAACTCAGGTCAATTGGTCTTCAAACAACCTTTAATTTATGCTAAAATAGAAATCAAAATTTATATGAAACAGAATTTGATTACATGAATCATTTATTTCCCTGGTGAAAGAGAGGTCAAGCACCAAAAACAATATGTATACATAATCAACCCCCGCCACCCAAAAAAAAAAAAGTTTCAGCAACTAGTTTTCTTCTCAAGCTAAGCCATTCCGTAAATTAAATCAAGACGCGAATAAATTGCACATGAGCAGGATGAAAATCTATGTAACTGTACAAAACCTCTAGCACCAGCAGAAAACCTATGAACAAACACGGCAACAAAAGTTTCCGATCTGCAAAAACAACCACTGAATTGGGTTCAAATATTCATCTTCTGCTGGTTCTGCTGCTGCTGGAGGTACAGGCATTTCATGAGGTAAATGCCGATGAAATGCATCAACTGCAGCAGCAACACCATCTTCATTCTCTATCAGCTTAGCAAGCTCCATCACCCGTGTTTTGACCTGAAACATTACAGTGTGAAGCTAATTTGTATCACCAACTTTAGGCGAGAAACCAGAATATTAACCCCCAGTAATTGTGTATAATCCAGCAATTCTATTATGTTTCTTTTTTCCAGCAGTAGAAAGAAAAACTTCAGCCCAACTTCAGTGTGTAGTAGCTTAATGCAAGACAGAATTACATATCAATTCATATTTATGTATCCTAATGTCATATTTCTTCCCCAGTGTTTAATTTCTCCATAAGTACTCTCCAAGCAGAACAGTTCACATAATGTCAATCGCAGTATATATTATCCTAGAAGGCTCATGATGTCAGGTCCACAGAGAGCCTTTAAATCAAAGACATCTCCACCTCAAATAACATATGCCATTCAATACAAGAGAGCTTGCTTGAACATGGCTTGTATCTATTCTACGTTCAAATACAAAATTGCAATCAGAAATGTATAGATCAGGTAAGTGGGAAAAACAGCAACTGACGAATATAGTTAAAAATACATGGCATGTATCTATTCTACGTTCAAATACAAAATTGCAATCGGAAATGTATAGATCAGGTAAGTGGGAAAAACAGCAACTGACGCATATAGTTAAAAATGGAAAGTACCTCAGGTTGGAGCATAAATCGTATAGCACTTGACAGAGCGTCGATGCTGAGCTGAGCAATAGGAATTGGTTCAGGTCCCAGACCTTTCTGATGAATTCTATCACCCCAAAAGAACTGATCGCCAAAAAATGGTACTACAGTTGTTGGGCACTGCAAAAATAACATAGGCAGTCAAATTACTTTCTCAACTACATCGGGGTTGTAGCATATGAAAATATACGTCTTCAGCATCAAATTCTGACTGCCAAAAGGCAAACAGCAGAAGCTATACATTGCTGATTATTAAATCCAGAATATTACAAGTATTACTTAAGCAATTAGATAACAAGCCCGATAAGAGTGGGCTGAATATATGATTCAATAGTCTTTAATGTCACTGAAAGATGGAAAACGAAGGATTTAGAACGCAGGCAAGTTCAGCTTTTCCCAAGGGTGCATGAAGCAAGTGAATTTTAGGCATGGATAACATAAGATATTCACATGTTCCAGAAATGAGCAACGAACAAGCTGAAAAACTTACACCAGCTCTTAGTCCAGTGGCTGTCGTTCCAGCACCACCATGATGAACCTGTTTATTTGTGGAAAACAATTGAATTAGCGTTAATTCACTGAGAGCATAAGGCACACTATTTATTATATCCATATAAAATAATATTGCATATGATGTAACATAAACTGAACAGTGAACAGCTATTTTCAACCACAACCATTGAAGGTCACAATCCAAGTTGGTAAACCTTAATTCAAATTGGGACAAGAAGCTTCATATTATATCCATGAAGCTAGATTTCAATCTTTTTTCCCAAAATACAAATCCAGACATGATACAAGCAACTAGCATGAGATAGTCTAACTCACCACGGCAGAACATTGAGGAAAAAGCCAATCATGAGGGCAGTTCTCGAGAAGGAAGATATGATCCGGAATTTCTGAAACTGCATGACACAGACTATCATTTAGATGAATAATAGAGCAGATATAAAATTAAGGCTTGGAGGTTAATTATCTTTCTTATTTAGTTTTCTTATGTGTCCTGGACAGGGAAAGAACCGTTATCAATTTATTTTTTTATGCCAATTGTGCCATGAAGTCTTGACTTTTGAGTGCTAAGTGCTGATGGATGAGAACCAAGCCAAAAAATATGAACTCTCACTCATGTTGCACTAGAAAGGTTTAGGGCTAGCATTATATAGCAAGACTATAAAAAGCCTTTAGTAGATAAGGAAAAAACTTGCAGAAAGCTATAGAAGAAATCAAGAAATGGAGTTATTACAAAAAAAAACATCATTTTCGAGCATGTTCTGGGGAATAAAGGGATGTTGGATAACCATGAAGTGGTTAGCTTAATGCAAGTCCAATATATTCAATGTGCTTCACCACTTCTTTCCTTAATTCAATTATATTCTTGCTCTGAGTCTTTGTAAATGTTGTTGCATTGCTTGGGACCATTTGTTGTATCACTTAGTACTTTATTAGTGAAGTATTGTGCATTTTACTGGCTTACAGAGCCACAGCAGATGTTCTAATTTTGTGTTTCCTCCCCCATTATTGTGGAATTTGAAAATTGTAAGCTTTCCTTAATCTATAAGGTTAATGGAATCGATCTCTTATCTGAACATTAACACCAGAGTTATAATCACTCTCTTATTTGAACATTAACACCAGAGTTGTATGTTCATGAAGCCTGGATCTGTTAGACTACTTGAGATACAGCTAGAACAAGTCTTATAAGAAATCCACAAGCACCGACTTCTAGAGGAAAGGCAGCAGTGCCAACAGAGAAGCAGAAGAAGACAAAGAAAGCAAAGGAGCAGCAGCAGAAAATAATAGAAGCAAGTGGTGAACACTGACAATAGGCAGGGGCAGGGCTGATTGACAATAGAAATCATATTGTGGTGAAGAGAGCCAGAAAGGGTAGCAGCCAAGATGACACTTTCAACTATTCTCTCTTGGGCATAATCTATGGGAAGACTTTCTGGTTACATATTTATCTAATCCACTAGCAAGTCTAATAGTCAGTTCTAAATCTATGCGCCTCCAACCCCATTCAACCTATGGGTAGACATTCAGGTTACAAAAAGATAATAAAGTAGTCATAATTTTAACGAGTTTTTCATTTATATTACAAAGCCGCAAAATAATGGAAAGACAGTTATGATAACTGCAGACAGAAATGATCAATTGACAAGGAAAGGTGGCCAGGAAATGAACACTTACAAATACCAAGGTCTCCCCAGCCACGATCGAGTATTCCACGTTGTCCAGTATCTTTTAATGCTTCCAATATGATACTGGTCGTTTTGCTGGGATCTTCAAGAGGCTATACATGATAAAATAATGAGTAAGAACACAGCAAGAACTCCTAAAGACAAAGTGGTTTAGGGTAAGATGTAAAACTACGGAGTAATATATTATCAAGCAATCCATAGTGCTTCTTGTTCTTACTTAAATTAAGTAGGGAGCTTCTTTTATTTTTTAAAATCCTTAAATTTGGTGGGATTTTGGCTATCCAAATCCAACAGAGTACAGCAGCTGTAGAAGGCTGGAAGTTTTCAATCAATAAAGAAAGTAAAGTACGAATATAAATGATAAAACCTAGAGGGTCCAGCTTTCACATGACAGAGAGGAACATCAACAACCAAGGGAAAAAAAATCACAGATGAAGCTGCAAAAGTGGCTTTTGTAACGAATGAATGGAACAGATTGCAGCCTCCACAATGTGATTTTTTTTTATATTTTTTAAATGAACACATTAATGGATTTTAGCCTTATTTTTGCTTTTTAAAATTTTAAGAAGTATTCTTTTAACACAATACAAACCAACCTACAATACTCCCTTTGTCCAGATTACTCACATCATTTTGACTTTTTGCACTATTCACATACACCACCTAGAACATCTTTTTATGCTAATGAGAGATATGAAAACAAATACTAATATGTAGATGGTGTTGGGTTCATTTAATGTATATATTCAAAATATTATTCGTTTCATAACTTTATTACTGCAATTGATAATTATAGATCTTAATAGTCAACGTTTTGAATTGGCAACATGTCCAATCAAAGTGATGCAAGTAATATTGAAAAAAGGGGAAAATACAACAGGATTGTATATTTGGCTAATGAATAACTTGAACTTTAAATGCTCCAAACTTTATTATTACTCCATACGCCTTTTTTGTATGCACCATTAGTGTTCAACTGTTAATATTCACCATTACAGACGTGTCATGAAGGATGTGATTTTTATTGCGGCATTATATAACGGCATTTTGAAAAGTGGCAAGTTTTACATAACTGTTAGTGTTCATAGAAGGATTAAGGTGGTCTTACCATACTCCCAAATCCAATATAGATGGGTCTCTGCCCTTTCTTTATCCACTCAACAAATGCTCCCTTTGGTTGATACTTAGAACCAAGATTTAAGAAACAATAACCAACAACATCAACCAAGGGACCCCAATCTGTAAAACATAAGTACATTAGAGATCTAAAAGTAAGAAGTCCAACCAACAGAGAAAACAATAAACAACATTAAGCAGATATCTTGTCATTGCACCAATGGCTTGAATATGACATGGTTATTAAATCAATACAGTTACCTTTTGGTTTTGGAACAACATGAGGACTCCACATGTATCCTGTAGGCAAATGAGATATAGATCCATGGTACATGCTAAAGTATGCAATAGGAGGAAGTTTCAGCTTCCTTTTCCTGAAGTCATTGATATAGCTCCTTATGCCCCACCATATCAGCAAGTCAACAATTATGTATGACAACTGTTCAGGAGGTGCAAACAAAAAAAAAATGTTAGAGAAAACGAGTTGGGGTAAGAGAGGGCCAGGAAATATACCAATTACAGTAACATACCCAGTTACCATAGCTTTGTGGTACACGAGCCAGTGGATGTGGGAACTCATACGTTGGCCTGCCTATTATAAAGAAGTGTAAGGAGAAATTATAAACATATTACAATTTTTTCAGGAGCACATGAAAAATTGCTACTCCCTCCTTCCACAATTAATAGTCTTCTTTCTCTTTTGCAAAAGTTTTAGAAAGCTAAAAGAAATGTGGGGTTCAATTAATTAACGCTGAATATATAAAATAAGATAGTGGAGTTTGGTTGAATAAAAGTAACTATAAATAAGATGGGGGGGCTTGGTAGGTTATATATGAATAAAAACAAAATAGATAAATGTGAAATGGGACCTTTATTTAGGGACAAGGTTTTTGGTTGAAATGGAACTTTTATCTAGGGACAGAGGTAGTGATTAGTAATGATATGAAGATATTTCATTTTTCAGGTAAAAGTAAACATGTTCACAAAGAAGTATTGACAGACTGCCTGAAGTAGTGAACTGCATATGCATGTCGATATTAGTAAAATCCCTAAATCCCTTTTAACACATGCCTCAATATGCTACATCAAAAAATTGATCTGGAGTTCAAATATAAGGATGTGCCCAAGAAGATTCTTGTGCTCATTTCCAAAATGTGCAACAAGAAGCCTGTAAAGAAAGCATTGCCCATTTTTTCAAACCCAGCTGATTTTGCTAAATTACCCACATTAATAGCTGCTAGAAATATCTGCCTTACCAAGTGTCCTGAATTACCTATTTCAAAGCTGTTTTGACACATGGAACCAGAAATTTTTCAAATTTGGCTTGGGCTTAAAGGACAAGGTAGATCCGATATATGATCTTAATGTATTCAGTTTTTATATGATCTTTCAGATTAGCTATAGATTGCTCGGACTAAGTATAGAGCAAACTTTTGGTGGATTTTAAAATTTTCTTCTCCCTTTTTTACAGTATTACATCTTCAAGCAGATGCTAAAATACAGACAGCATGCATCGACACTTTACAAAAATATAAGTTCCAAATTCATGGTTTTGGGTCTATCTTGGCCTCCCCCTGCCCCCCTCCCCCATTAACTACTCCAAGAAACCCACTTGTGGCGCAGAGACAATGTACATCCAATTTAATAAGATAATACAGGTGAAGTGTGAAAACTTACGTCCATGGCATTGTGAAGAATATGTGTAGAGGTACACCAAGAGCTTCTGCAGCATGCACATGCCCTGCAATATATATCAACTTATTATTAGACTACCTTATAAGAGAAATAAAGAAAATGATCAAAAGTGCCTATCAGACAACAAATGAACCCCGTTATGACAAATTGACAAATGCTCACAATGCATAGACAGCTTCAAGATATGTATACAACCAACTCTTCCAGGTACACTTTTGCTCACATTCAATTATAGACTATGTTGCTCAAAGCAGTTGAGCAGTTAATCAGTTGATGTATTTTCCTATATAATATATCATCTATCTTTTATGTTATGCATGTTAAGAATAAAGTTTTATTACAAAGGTTCACTAGTTACCACTGGCTAGTAAACTAGTACTCCCTCGGTCCCCTATTGATAGTCCCTTATGGGCATTTTTCACGGGAATTAATAAACACACATAAGAATAGTTAAAGTACATTGAAAAAGTAAATTAACATTGGGTATGCAAAAAAAAAAAAAGAGGGAGAAAGTAATAAAAGTACATGGGAAAACAAAATTTACATGGGAAAGTTTAAACTTGCACAAATATTGTTGCAAATTGGAGGGAATTTTGGTAAAAATTTAATTTAATGGTTGTTGGAAAAAACAAATGGGGTGAACATTTTGGGACTAAAATGTGTCCATAAGGGACTATCAAAAGGGGACGGAGGGAGTAGTATTTTATTGATATTTCATCCTTATAAGTGACAACTAAGATTGCACTAAATACTTTAAAGTGACGACAATAAAAAATTAAAAATTAAAAAAAAAACGTCAATTGGATAGAAAATATAGAACGGAGGAGCACAAATATCTAAGCAAAGTTCAAGACCATGTTATGTGGTTCCAAAATTTTAAAACAATGTTGGTATCAGTTGCAAGTCTTGCAACCACTATAAAGAAGCTATAAAGGTATATATCCCTGCATCCAACCACAACCCTGAAATAATAAAATATCACAGAAGGATTTGAGACATTTACGATAGAAAGCTATTATCAAACTCCAGCAATAACTTGATAATTGGGAACGTCACATTCATATATGATGCGTCAACACTCATTTTTCAAGCCTGTCATGACTCATGAGCTTACCATAAGCAGGAGGATTAGCAATGATTGCTTGAGCTCTAAAAGGCATGCTAGTCTCTGTATCTGGTTCTGTACATGCAGGAAGAAGTGATTCTATAATAGCCTTCAATTGCTTCCGTTGAATTGAAATTTCTCCTGGGGCAGAGGGAATAAGCCCCTTATTTCTTGCCATATCTGATTCCCGGAAAGCAATGGAAAAAAGCTATCTCAGTGGTCTAAAAGATTTAGATGCAACAAAAAACAAGCTACCATGTAACAAATGGGCGTGATAATAAATGACGAGCTACAGCATCTATGCAATGCAAACAAAATTTCTAACTATTTTCTAAGGGCTTGTTTGGCATTGTTTTTTGTTTTTAGTTTCCGGTTTTTTGAAAACTAAAAACCAAAAACAGAAAACAAGAAAAAGGTGTTTTTCACTTTTCTGTTGTCAGTTTTCAAAATTATCATGATTTTAATAAGTTTGACTAATTTTTGATTCATTATATGATATATATCATATGATTTTAAAAAAACAAAAACAGAAAACCACAGTGATACCAAACGAACCCTAAACAAATAGTTATGTGTAGAGTCATGCAACGTTGATGTAGAAACAATTTGTATAATTGTATATAGACCACAAAATCAAAGTATAGTATTCAATTTTATTAAAAAACATTATTCATAAGAAATTGGAAAAATTGTATGATTTGGTAATTGTTGAAAGGCCATGCAGAATGCAGACATAGGCTAAGTGTTAGAATCCAACCTCTTTGTTATGTATTCTTCTTTATTTTCCTTATATTTTCCTTATGTAATGTCTCTTTAGTCTTTCTTTTTATTTTTCTAGACCCTAGGGAGAATTATTGTGTTACTGTCATTTCAACGTTCACTTGTAATTCTCTACTAATGCAATATAAAGCTCTTTAGGGAGCGAATGGTTATTCAATCAAAGCTCTCTACCCCGTTGTTATTGCTTTAAGACTTGTGTGTTGTTTAAGCCTTTATAGATATTGTGCTTGCCTTGTTTTAAAGCATCCCCCATCAAACCAAGAGACCCTAGAGACGTCCTCATTTTCGTCGGTTCCGCTTGTGCCCGCTTCGAAGTATCGGCCGTCACAAGCCCCGACTCCGCACTCGTTGTTCTCGTGCGCCCTCTTGAGACACCGTAGGTCCGTGTTGCTGTGTGCTCACGAACCTCCTTGCTTTAGGCTTGCGCCCTTGTCGCCAAAAGACGAGAGCGCGCCGCACGATCTGGTGTTGAATCACTCGGACCGTGACAGTTTGGTATCAGAGCCAAGTTTGCCGTAGAGATGGCAGAAGAAGAAGAGATGCATGAATACACATTCGAGGAAAGACTTGCTTGGCTTGAAGGCAAGTCCGAACAGTGGGCTATGCTTGAAGAAAAGGCTGCCCAAACTCGAGGATATTGTAATAAAACAAGCCGACCAAATAGAGAGGCTTGCCGCTACTGTGGATGGGTTAACGGAGCAACTTAACTTCGTGCAAGGCGTCGCTGATGAAGCACATGATAAATGTGCAATCTTAATGCGTGCCCAGAGAGGGCTCGGGGGAAGTGGAGGTGCCAAGATAAAACCTCCCAAGCCCCGGACCTTCAATGGCACGAGAGATTCAAAAGAAGTCGATAATTTCATTTTCGACATGGAGCAATACTTTCGGGTCTGTCAGTTGGAGAATGAGTTAAAAGTTGATACCGCCACTATGTATTTGGTGGATGAATGCAAAGCTTTGGTGGCGCACCAAGTACACCGACATCCAAGCTAAGAGGAACGTCAGTGGATACTTGGGAGGATCTGAAGAAAGAGCTGATGGCCCAATTTTATCCCGAGAATACCGAGTTTGTTGCTCGCACCAAGCTCGCTGCTTTGCAGCATAAGGGTTCCATCCGGGAGTATGTCAAAGAGTTTTTCAGCGTGCATGTTGGAGATCCACAATATGTCCGAGGAAGATCGCCTATTCAACTTTGTGCGTGGTCTTAAGGAATGGGCCCAAAGAGAAATTTGGCGCCAAAAAGATTGATACTTTATCGGGAGCCATCGCTGCAGCCGAAAGGTTGAATGGACTACTCCTCAGAGAAAGGACAAGGTTTGAAGAAAGGGAATAGCGGGCCGACACCGAACCCTCCTAGGAACTCCGGACATGGCTCGCAAGTGAGCTCCAACAACTCGAACAATAGATACAATAAGGAGTGGGGGAGAAGACTCTCGGAAAAGTGAAGCTTCTTCCTTCTCTAGTAGAGGAAGCACCCCTAGTTCATCTTCGACAGCCAGGCCATTGACGTGTATCCTTTGCAGAGGACCGCACAAGTGGTTTGAATGTCGACACAAGGGAGAAATTGACAATCTCCAAAAGAAACTGTCCTCCATGTCCTTAGAAAACCCCGAGGGTGAAGAAGCCGATGAGGTAGTACCTAGTGAAGGGGAAACATTCCAGACTGGGGGCCATTCGCATGATGTGCGCTATGGGAAGAGAAGGCTCTGAGGGCCAACCCAAAAACTCTGGATTGATGTATGTGAATGCGTTGGTAAACGGAAAGGAAACTCGTGCCATGGTGGATACCGGTGCTACCCACAACTTCATTTCAGAAAAGGAGGCAAAAAGACTTGGGTTGAAGCTCCTACCAGAAGGAGGCAGTATGAAAGCGGTGAATTCAGTTGCCAAACCGATCCACGGCGTTGCCAAGAAAGTAACAATGAAGCTGGGAGATTGGAGCGGACAGGTGGACTTTACCGTTGCGCCAATGGACGACTTCAGCTTGGTGCTTCGGCATGGACTTCTTACACTTTAGTAAGGCAGTCCCGATGTCGCATCTTAGATCTATTCTGGTGCCCGGGCAGCAACCATGTCTCCTCCGAACCTGCGATTCGGGAAAAGGGCCGAAAGGGCCCCTCCTTTCAGCAATGCAATTGGAGAAGGGGTGAAGAGGAACGAGCCCACGTTCCTAGCAACACTTTCCACGAAGGAAGATGAAGCAAGTGGAGACTTTCCGCCTGCAGTTGCCGAGCTACTATCAGAGTTCCAGGATCTCCTCCCGAAAAACCTATCAAAAGTTTCTCCCACCTAGAAGGACAGTGGACCATGAGATTGAGCTGGTTCCAGGGGCGAAAACCCCCAGCACGAAGCCCTTATCGCATGGCCCCCCAGAATTGGCTGAACTCCGGAAACAATTGGAGGACTTGCTTGAGGCAGGCTTCATCCGCCATCAAAGGCTCCTTATGGGGCTCCTGTGCTTTTTCAGAAAAAACAAGATGGAAGTCTTCGATTGTGTATCGACTACCGAGCATTAAATAAGGTTACGGTGCGCAATCACTACCCTATCCCTTTGTGGCGGATTTGTTCGATCAGTTAGGGGATGCAGTGTACTTTACAAAGCTAGACTTGAAGTCTGGCTATCACCAAGTTCGTATCGCCGAAGGAGATGAACCAAAAACTGCTTGTGTGACGAGATACGGGGCATACGAATGGCTAGTCATGCCCTTTGGCTTGACGAATGCACCTGCTACGTTCTATACTCTGATGAAACCAAGTATTTCGAGAGTACTTAGACAAGTTTGTGGTCGTGTACCTCGATGACATCGTTGTCTACAGCAAGACTTTGGAGGAGCACCTCGAGCACCTAAGATTGGTCTTCGAGAAGCTGAGAGAACATCACCTTTTTGTGAAATAAGAAAAGTGTGCCTTTGCGCAGGAAGAAGTCGGATTTCTTGGACACTTTGTGGGGAAGGGTCGATTGAGGATGGACCCAAAGAAGATATGTGCTGTTCGCGATTGGCGGGATCCCAAGAACCCCTCTGAGCTGCGATCCTTTCTAGGACTGGCGAACTATTATAGGAGATTCATTAAGGGATACTCCAGAGATCGCAAGTCCCCTCACCGACCTATTGAGGAAAGATTGTCGTTGGGAATGGTCAGGGCCCAGAAGGAAGCTTTCCAGAAGTTGAAAGAAGCAATGGTGAAGGAGCCGGTCCTTGCCCTTCCAGACATAACCAAACCATTCGTGGTCGAGACGGATGCTTCGGATTTTGCTTTAGGAGGAGTGCTCCTCCAAGAAGGACATCCTATTGCATTCCGAAAGTAGGAAGCTGAATAATGCGGAGAGAAGGTATGCGGCACAAGAAAAGGAGCTACTAGCCATTGTGCACTGCCTAAGAGGATGGAGGCACTACTTGTTGGGGTCAAAGTTTACCGTCCGCACAGACAACACCGCGGCGAGTCACTTTCTCACCCAACCCAAGCTGACAGGAAAAACAAGCTCGGTGGCAGGAGGACTTAGCTGAGTTCGACGTGGAGTTTCACCTATAGAACGGGATCCAGCAATAGAGTTGCCGATGCCCTGAGTAGGCGGGCCGATCTTGCTGCGATGTACAAGTTAGCGCCAATGACGGCAAGCAGCATTGCCACATCCGTTAGAGATCAAGTTTGTGCTTATCTCCCACATGATCCGATGACAAAAACCATAACAAGGATGATTGAAGAAGGGAAGACTAGACGCTTTTGGTTGGAAGATGGCCTCATCTTCACCAAAGGTACAAAGCTGTTCATCCCAAAGCAGGGGGATTGAGGATATGTTGTTGAAGGAATGCCATGATACGCTGTGGGCGGGACATCCAGGTTGGCAGAGAACCCTCAGTCTACTCGCGATGGGGTACTACTGGCCAGGAATGAAGGAAGATGTGATGAGCTACACCAAAACCTGCCTTGTGTGCCAGCAAGACAAGGTTGACAGACAGAAGCCCGGGGGCCTCCTTGAACCTCTTCCTGTACCAACTCGACCGTGGGAGAGTGTGTCGATGGACTTCATTAGTGGCCTCCGAAGGTTGGCCAGTTCTCTTCTATCATGGTGGTGATAGAAAGGTTCTCAAAATACGCAACGTTTGTACCCTTGCAGAAGGCTTGCGGAGCAGAAGAAACGACATCTCTCTTCTTTAAGCATATTGTGAAGTACTGGGGATTGCCAAAGAGCATAGTAAGCGACAGGGATACCAGATTCACGAGCATATTCTGGTCTGAGCTATTCCAAATGATGGGGTCTGACCTCAACATGTCGTCATCTGATGGGATGGGCAGACAGAGAGATTCAATGGGGTTCTCGAGGAATACTTACGTCACTTTGTGAGCGCCAACCAGAAAGATTGGGTGAGACTCTTGGACGTCGCACAACTTTGCTTCAACGCTCAAAGGAGTTCTTCTTCCAACAAAAGCCCCTTTGAGTTGGTCATGGGTCAACAACCTCTCCTCCCGCACACAGTGGCTGACTGGGAGGGCGGTAGGAGTGCTCAGGCTCGAGATTTTACAAGAGAGTGGAAGCAAAACACCGACATTGCAAAAGCCTACCTAGAGCGAGCATCGCGCCGGATGAAGAAATGGGCTGATCAAAACAGAAGGCCAGTTGATTTTGCTATTGGGGAGAGATCGTCGCCTCATTCGGAAATATGAAGGCCCCATCCGCATCACTAAACGGATTGGGAAGAACGCATACAAGGTAGAACCGCCTGCGTGGATGAGGATTCACCCCGTCTTCCACGTTAGTCGTCTAAAACCCTACCATCCAGATCCCGACGACAGCAACCGCAACGTCAGCTACCACGCCAACATCAGAACCAGGACAAGAGCCACCCCTACAACAGAAGACTGAAGCTGCTAAGATCTTAGTGTAGATTTTGTAAGTCGACGAGGACGTCGACGACTTAAGTGGGGGAGGATGTTAGAATCCAACCTCTTTGTTATGTATTCTTCTTTATTTTCCTTATATTTTCCTTATGTAATGTCTCTTTAGTCTTTCTTTTTATTTTTCTAGACCCTAGGGAGAATTATTGTGTTACTGTCATTTCAACGTTCACTTGTAATTCTCTACTAATGCAATATAAAGCTCTTTAGGGAGCGAATGGTTATTCAATCAAAGCTCTCTACCCCGTTGTTATTGCTTTAAGACTTGTGTGTTGTTTAAGCCTTTATAGATATTGTGCTTGCCTTGTTTTAAAGCATCCCCCACCAAACCAAGAGACCCTAGAGACGTCCTCATTTTCGTCGGTTCCGCTTGTGCCCGCTTCGAAGTATCGGCCGTCACAAGCCCCGACTCCGCACTCGTTGTTCTCGTGCGCCCTCTTGAGACACCGTAGGTCCGTGTTGTTGTGTGCTCACGAACCTCCTTGCTTTAGGCTTGCGCCCTTGTCGCCAAAAGACGAGAGCGCGCCGCACGATCTGGTGTTGAATCACTCGGACCGTGACACTAAGGCTACAATTTCTTCTTTAGTCAAAAGTCACTATTGTCTATACTCAGTACCTGCAAATAGTGGAAGTCTAGTAATACCTCAAAGTCATGATACTTCCCATTCCACGAATGTTTGACACAGTCACAGATCACAGAGCAAAAAAATAAACCATTGTAATTTTTGTAAAAAACTAACAACAATATCAAATGGAAATTAGTGTAGTTTTGAAAACATTCAAGATTATCAGTGTTGACAATAGTGTCAAACAATAGAGGATGTCTAGCATGCATTAATTCTCCAATCACAGGTAAAAACCCAGAGACCATTTGAAACTCGCTGATATGCAAAACACCACATTGCTTACAAACCACAATTATAATGAGGCAAGAACATGAAAAGTGAACTATTTGGATTGAAAAAAAAATATATATATATTGAGCTTTAGACAAGCTAGTCTCTGTTATAATCAATCTGACTTTAGCCATGGCTCACATTTATAATCTGGTACCATGGTCATATGGATCAGTAAGCTATAATGGATGTATAAAACAAATATTAATAGAGCTATTGACTTTTGGTCTTTTGCAATCAATACAAACAAAATCAAGGTCAATCTTTAATTCTTTAGGATAGCTATTCCTAGTCGATGCTCAGCTCACAAAATAACTCACGGAGGCCAACTGTAAAACAGTAATCAGCAGATAAAGCTATAAGGGGGTAGATGATAAAGCTAATGAAGCAGAAAAAAAAAAAAAAAAAAAAAAAAAAAAAAAAGAAGAATAAAAGATCTGAGACAACTTACATCCTGCCAGAACTCGAGGATCACCACCTAAGGGATAGAATTCAACACCAGCAGATTTGACAAAATCTCTAAAGTTGGCATGCGTAGCCAATCGAACACGATGACCAAATTCCTGCACGTAGAATAGATGAACTTTTAGCCCCGTAAATTTGCAAAAGACTTACAAGAAAGACCCACATTAACAAGGAAAACAATGCACGAAGATATGCGACAAAATTTAGTAACAGCACACTTAGTCTCTCTTGACAAAACACAATACCGATATAGTTAGTAATATAGCCAACTATGATCAAAGTGAGCAATTTCAGCAAAGGCGTAATTCTGCAAGCTTTAAAGCAGCATGAATAAGTGCAAATCAAGAGAAGAAAAAGGTATATTTCTCACATCTCATTGTCAGTGAAGGGTTCTAGGATAAAAAAACTCAATTACTCACACAGGTAATCCAAAATATGATCAAAGTGAGCAATTTCAGCAAAGGCGTAATTCTGCAAGCTTTAAAGCAGCATGAATAAGTGCAAATCAAGAGAAGAAAAAGGTATATTTCTCACATCTCATTGTCAGTGAAGGGTTCTAGGATGAAAAAACTCAATTACTCACACAGGTAATCCAAAATAATCATGTCACATAAGTATGTAATGTTGGATATTCATGCAACACTCCAAACACTCCCCCAACTCCTAGCCAAATAAAATTTTAGCAGTATGAAGCAGTCAGTCTCACAAAGTTCTGACTAGTCCCCCATCCCTCGTTGATCGCACACAGAAACTTAATTTTCACCAGAAGGGCGGAAGTTAGTTTGAGGTGCAAACAAGTTAACTAGTTAAAGGTCACTCCAAACATTACTTCCAACCCACACACACACACAACAAAATTCCCTTTCAGATGTACGAAAGTTCATTGTTGGTACATTTTGTAAGCTAAAAGCATGATCATCAACAATCAGTTAAAAGAGCATCTAACAAAAAAGAGACAAATTTGATTAAAGCTTGTGAGCCTGCCTGAAGTCTCTTTGCCATAGCTAGAAAAGGTTGAACATCTCCTCTTGTCCCAACAACAAGAAAGGCAATTTGCAATCTTGGTACAGATTTATTGTGATTAGGAACAATTTCATCAGCAGGAAGAGAAGCACTTTCAACAGAATGAAGCTCCAAAAGCTCAGAAGTTACAGACGAATTTCTAGATAAATCCACCTCCACAGTTCCATCATTCTGTATTTTGACTAAGTTTGCAATAAGCTTTTCCTGAGATTAACAAGAACAATAAACATCATCAATGATACAGCAACTCCATGCAATCTGTACGTCTGAAAGCTACTAGCAGAGGAAAATTTACAATGAGTTTTGACTTCTTTAAGGTACAATGAATGTAAACTTAAGAAAGCAGGACTCTTTTAAAAGTAGCAAATAAATCAACATTATACCCATCAGCTCATTACCAGAAAAAATAAATAAATAAATAAATATCTCATAGTGCCTGCACGCTGCATCTGACAAAGAAATATATGGTATAAAGACATAATTTATTATTTAAGGGGATAAGGTCTTTACTATCTCAAAGCCTTTGAGTCCATAACTAGTCAATCGGAATAAAAATGATAACTTTCTGAAACAAATTCCTGGAAATTGACATTCCAATTTAATAAATATAACCTTTGATGATAATCTCAGTTTAAATACTACTACTTTTGAAATTTGTTCCACTTGGACATTTTACATCAACAGAGTTGATTCTTCCATAAAACCTCAATGATGAAGACAGCTCGTTGTACCTTGTATGTTTAGTAAATTTAGAAAAAACAATAATTATTAAATCAGGTACATTGATTTCAATGAGCCTACCGTCCCTGTACATTTTGACAACATTGATCATTAGCCAATTCTAGCTATAAAACACATTGTCACTAAATGAATAGAAACAGGTGCTAACTTTAGGTTTGAAAAGACACCTGCAGTAGCAGATATATTCAACTTATATTACCTTATCATGCTGTGATAGTCTATCCAATCTCATATCATGTCTTCTGCTATCCTGATGACTCTTAGACTTGCTCATTATGATGTCTTTTTTATCAACCAATAAACTTTTATGGGCTTCAATACCACCTGAAGGTGCTGTAATACTGTGATCCAACACTGCCAGGAGAGATATTGAGCATTGTAAGAACATCAGTGCAGATATGAGTGAGATCACACTGCTTAAAGGTTAAAGGTTTTTATACTTTTATAATAACAAGTTATATAAGTATTTTTCAGGTATCCAACTCTGACTGCTGAACCACTTTTTTACAATGGCTAATAATACAAAAGACCACCGCCCACATTATGTACAAGTTTAAAAGCACATGGTCCTTGAAATACATGATAGCGACCTTATAGGATTTTGAATGAGATTCATTTACGGTGTGTTTGGATTGAAGCAAATGGAGGGAAAAGAAGGTAGAGAAATGGAGAGATTAGGCATCTTTCATTTGGATAACAAAT